AACTCTTCTGCTTGCCGAGGCTGCATTCATTTGATCAAAAATACAATAAAAACAGTTAAATATTATTAGAATTTAAAAAAGCTGCTTACTATTTGAATATATTGTAGAATGTAATTTATTTCTGTGATCAAAGCTGGATTTCCAGCATCATTACTCCAGTCTTCAGTGTCACATGATCTTCAGAAATCATCCTAAAATGCAGGTTTGCCGCTGAGGAAACATTTCTGATTATCAGTGTTGAAAACAGTTGTGCTCTTTTTGTGGAAACCTTGATTTTCTCTCACTTTAGATCAGTTTATTGCGTCCTTGCTGAATAAAAGTATTAATTTATTTAACAAACAAATCTTATCGACCCCAAATCTTTGAACAGTAGTGTATATCTCAAGTCAAACGGAGTGCATTAATAATGACTAAATGCTCATTTTTCAATGAACTGTTCTTTTAAATAGTTGTAACTCTTGTTTTCTCTACAGGGGAGGAATGAAGCCTGTGAAACCTGTGAGATGAAGCAAAATACATGCGAGACGTCCGTTGTGTTTTCTGAGCACAGAGGCGAATACTGCGTCAGTCTGACTGGAAACATCGGACAGAGATTTTTCAATCTGAGAAGCAGCTGTTTCACTGGAGACATAAGAAGCTGTAAGTGCGATTTCTACCAAACAGTCTACTGCTTATTTCTGAAGGCAGATAGACTCTAAAAAAATGCTGGGTTGTTTCAACCCAACTTTGGGTCAAATATGGACTAACCCAGCTATTGGGTTACATTTTTAAATTACATTTTTAACCAAAAGTTGGGTTAGTCCATATTTGACCCAAAGTTGGGTTGAAACAGCCTGGCATTTTTAGAGTGTAATAGTGGAAACACAGCATCCATGTGAACAGAGCTGGAAATATAGACAAATACAAGAGTTTTTATTTATGTAATTTTCTTATTTCATAGTTTCAGTGACTTCACTACTATCCCACACAGTGTCATCGCAACGAGATATAGAGAGAGCGAGCGTTTGAAGCAGTGACTACTGCACGGCTCATTGTCTGCGTGTTTCATGTAGTGCCCAGACAGAACCTGCAGAGTTTTTCCACAGTTTCTCTGCAGGTAAAAAGTGTTAAACTGTGTAGAGAGAACTGCAGAGCACATTTGCATTAGTGTTATAACCCGTGTTGGGTGTAATGCATTACTGAGCAATTAAGTACTGTCATTTAATCACTTTTCCCTTGAAAAAGTAATTGGATTACTTTTAATTTTTCTGTAATTTAACTACAGTTATTTCTGATGTAATTGCATTAAATATGTGACCCTGGACCACAAAAGCAGTCTTAAGTAGCACCGGTATATTTGTGGCAATAGCCAACAATACATTGCATGGGTTTTTCGATTTTTCTTTTTTGCCAAAAATAGAGCCAATATGTTTAATAAACAGAATTTTGTGAATGAAGGTCTTTCCGTGAAGTTTTTGCGTTTGTTGACCTGTCTCCTGTGTTATAGATGGACGCGAGGAGTTTGAGTGTTTTGGATCGTCTTGTCCTCACACACTCCATATGGTTGCAGCTGTCAATCTAATCACTTTTCCCTTGAAAAAGTAATTGGATTACTTTTAATTTTTCTGTAATTTAACTACAGTTATTTCTGATGTAATTGCATTAAATATGTGACCCTGGACCACAAAAGCAGTCTTAAGTAGCACCGGTATATTTGTGGCAATAGCCAACAATACATTGCATGGGTTTTTCGATTTTTCTTTTTTGCCAAAAATAGAGCCAATATGTTTAATAAACAGAATTTTGTGAATGAAGGTCTTTCCGTGAAGTTTTTGCGTTTGTTGACCTGTCTCCTGTGTTATAGATGGACGCGAGGAGTTTGAGTGTTTTGGATCGTCTTGTCCTCACACACTCCATATGGTTGCAGCTGTCAATCAACCCTGACTCCGCCCACCAGATCCTGCAAGGAGAGATAGTTGGGGTGAGGGAATCCCAACAGCCTCTTACAATCAAATAATCATGTTTTATCACTGTTATTCACAACCTAAAGTCATAATTACAGTAATCATGCAGTGATGCACCTCTGTATAACCTTTGACTGCATAACAATGTCCAGTATGATGGGTGTAATTTGCAACTAATCAACTAATTACACTTCAGATAAACACACTCAACTAGAGACAGCCTGCTGCATTACCTTCATATATAGTCATTTTATTTTAAGGTTTATTTTCTTGTACTTGATGCTGACTTCTCAATATCTTTGTTTTATTCCATTATATATCAACTGTATTGTTGTATGCAGTATAATAATTTAACATATGTACAACATCATCTAATGAGAGTTAATGAATGCTGTATCTCCCCTCTTTGTCCACAGACGTTTCTGGTGTGTAAGTGTAGCGCCTCCCACAGGAAGGTTTTGTGTGTGCGACTGCAGGAGGGAGGAGTGTCACAGTATCCCATCCGTGAGGAAGACTCCAGTGAGTTCAACATGTCACAGCTTTTAAACTAAGCTAATGGTATTTTCTATCCCCTAAACCTAATAAACAATCCTTTGGTCCCCCATACTGTTTATTTGTTGTTGTATTGTGCTGCGGAGCTTCTATTATTATTAAGCACATTATAGACTAATTAAAATCCTATTTTAACTTGCAATATAAGAGATTATTTTGTCTATGCATGTCTACCTGACATACTTTTATTTACTACTCCCCAATAAGACAAGCTTGCACAATTTCACTATCCAAAAAAAAAAGGTTTTATGCCTGGTAGCAATTTTCTATCTTAAATTTTTGCATCTTCTTTTACACTGTTTAGCATTTTCTCTTGAAAGTTCTGCCCTGAGCTTCCCTGATCTCTGCAGACTAGTGGCATTTTACACCATCAGCAGGTAACACACATCAAACATTATAGGAAAATGATTCATGTAAATTAAACAAGTGTTTTATGTATAATGTAAATTCTGCTCTTTATGTATGTGTTCAACAGAGATGTATTGCCTTTCCCACTTGAGCTCCCAGATGCAATTATACAGGCCACAACACACACCCAGCTGGAAAGCATTTCGCATTTGGGTTTAGGTAAGAATGCATGTTTATCACGACCATTTCCACCCCTCTTTCTGACCTTTTAAACTAAACTTGCCATTTTTTCTGATGTACCTTTAACACTTATATGTAAACACCCACTTAGCATCCTTAACACCCTCTTGCAACCAGCTGCAGCGCTTTTCTGTGCTTATGCCCACCTGGGGGTGTGCAGTTTTGTCCTCTATAGTTTTTAATTTTCCCATCCATCCTCCAATAACAACCTCTTTGCAAAGTTAGTGTTTCTTTTCGACAGCATCACAAAATCTGTTGAAATGTACTGCTAAAATAGTGCTGAAATGTACTGCTCAAACTCAGGGATAATTGTTTGGTACTGGGAGCAAGAGTGACTCGACAACATTTGGCAAACTTTCCCAACACCTCACCCTTACTTTTAGTTACCAACTAACAAATACCACATGCCTAAGCAATTCCAATTTGCATGCCAAATAGCATCCTTATTACCATACCAAAACAGGGCAGGTCATGTTTCACAAAACAGATATTGCAAAACTATCTCATGTTATGTTTTCATGATACATTGAAGGCTTTAGTTTCGATAGGTACTAGAATATGTCACAAATGCTCTGAAATACTGTCTTTTCTTTCTCAATTCCACTCTTTGCAATCTTCCATGGCTTTTTCAGAGTTCTGGAGCTCTCAGACATCTCCTGGCCTTCCTAACGGCCCCCCTCCGCCCTCAGCGCCCCACCGGACATTCAGATTGATCAGCCCATGTTTTGTAAACCCCCTGTTCCTTCAGCCTCCCCAACCCAGCAGAACCGCCTCACACAAACGCCACCGCTTTAAACGCAGCCTCAGGGTCCGTGTGTCCAATGAAACCTCTCTCAGCTTGTCGGGTGGAGAATCGGACCTAACCCAAGGGGAGACACATGGACAGAATTCCAACCAGGGCGGCCCGAGACGAACGAGAGGGTTAAGTGTGCTCAGGAGGACCCCGGCACTTACACCCACTTCAGAAGAGGAAGATGAACAGATGTTGGGACCGATACCACCTGTAAGTTTATGTACCCTTGGCTGACTGAAATACAGAGTGAGTCATGTTTCCCTTTCAACATCCTTGTTGGTCTGGGACAACGAAAAGGGTTACTGTGGCTCAAGGCTGGGATTCGGACATGGTTGTCCAACCCTTTGTCTTAGAGGTCCATTTTCTAGTTTTGCTCCAGTACACCTGCCGGGAAGTTTCTAGTGCTTCTCAAACCTGTCCTGGGGGCCCCCAACCTCTGAATATTTGTATGTCTCCCTCATTTAACACACCCGATTCAACTCATCAGCCCATTAGTAGAGTCTGCAAGACTTGGGTGTGACCTTTCAGGGAGACATACAAAATGTGCAGTGGCTGGGGTGCCCAGGACAGGTTTGAGAAGCACTGCTCTTGAAGACCTTGATTAGCTGGACAGGGTGTCTAGCTATAATTAGAGCTAGAGCTAAACTCTCCTTAAGCCCAAAACACACTGCACGATTTTAGCAATCCTGCAAGATCACTGTGCGACATGGATCTAATAAACTTGGCTACGAGTGTGTAGACTGTACGATGATGACACCAATTAACTCGTACAATATGACGCACGTTTCTATAGAAGAAGGAAACGTCATCAGCATGCGCTAGTGGTAAACAAAAAGAGCATGATAAATCACACTTTAGCAGTTGTATTTTTATGTGTGCTGAAAAAAGTGGAAGCGGCGAAAGAGGAAGGGATAAGAGCTTGAGGTAAGCAGTTCTATGTTTTAGCACCATGTCGCGTTGATTTCATGTCGCATTTTTATTGGCTGGTCAGTAAACGTGGATCATACCAGCAAACACACTGTGCGATGATCATGCTATATCGCAGGCTATTTTTGGTCGCAAGGCCGTGAAAACGGCCGTCTTTGAACCTCTCTCACTGTACGACACAGGACCACCGATTAGGAGCCACGATCACAGAAATCGTCACGATTGTTTCACAATGCCAATCTTTCGTCTGGGACAGCCGAAAATCGTGCAGTGTGTTTAGGACTTTAGCTCTAGAATCTTTAATCCTGCCCTTGGCCCTCCCAGGATTACACACACCTGGATTAGGGTCTTAAACAACATTAGCAACCTATTATTTATCTCTGTTTTTAAGGCTAGTTAATGGTTAAATTGGGGGTAGGCTTGGGGTTAAGACTATGTTTGCTAGGATCAGTGTATTTCTGGATCAGTGTTCTTGTTGGTGCTGGAAGTCTGATCATTCATAATAAGATTTCAGGTATAGGGAGGAGGTTAGTCCAGAGGGTATCCAATCCTGCTCTTGGAGGGCGACCTTTCAACAGAATTTGTTCTAGTCCTAATTAAACGCACTTGAACGGGCTAATCAAGGTCTTCAGAACCTTTCGGGCAGGTGTGTTGGAGCTAAACTATGGAAAGTGGAAAGTGGCCCTCTAGCAGCAAAATTGGACTATTAGGCTTTGAGTGGTATATGGCAGGGGTAGCCAACCCAGTTCCTGGAGGGACACCTTTCTGCAGACTTCAGTTCCAACTCTCCTCAAAAACACTTGTTGCTTTCAAGTGATTCCGAACACCTTTTTTAGGGTGTGTTTGATTAGGGTTGGCGCTAACCTCTGTAGTGTGGTAGCCCTCCAGGAGTAGGGTTGGCTTCCCCTGGGATATGGGGTTGAGCAAAATTCTGATCAACCCTCATTTCACTCTCATATTAGGGATAGTTAATAGTTATGCATATGGAAAGGGTTTAGAGTGTCTTTGTTTTACAGTAACATTGTTTTGGGACCAACAAAATGCAACACATCCTACTTGGCTAAATCTGTGGTTTTCAGTCATGGTCCTGAGGACACACTGCTCTCTTTTATCTGACACACGCCGTTAAGTTTATGGAGCTCCTTTCGAACCAGCTGATGATCATAAATAGGTGTGTTAAATAAGAGTGATGGGTCTCCAGGACCAGGATTGAAAACCACTGGATTAAATCAGAGTCCCTATGCAACTGTGCTGTAGTTAGCGCGGGTGGAAAGAGGTTTGCACAAATATAACCGTTACTGGGTAACTGCCTCCTACAAACAATTTAATGATATTCCACATACTGTGCCCACACTGCACTTGTGGTTCTGGAAGGTCATGATCGTGATGTGTGTTTGAAACTGTTTCCCTTGTGCCAAGTTCTAAAAATAACATTGTTTTTTTTACCTTACCCCCCTCCACATCGTGTGGTTCTCTAGAGTAATTCCACTGACTTCAACAAAGATACTGAAGATGGTGAGGTGTGTCTGGCTTTGGAAAGGACTCGAGCTCCTTCCCTTGCTGAACTGGACAGCAATAGTTCCTTCAGCAGTCTGGAGGAGGAGGAAGCCCAGGCGGACCTCGCCCACCAATGGCCGCCTGCCGCACGTGGTACCCGTTTTCCCTCAGCAAACCCCACATCGACTCTGCGCCGCATGACCGCCGCCTTTGTTTGCGTGTTCGCTCCTGAGCGCCGAGTTGCCAGATTGGTGGACGAACTCTCGTGCGACAAGCGCTCCACATTTGGGTCGCTGGTGCAGGACTTTTTAGAGAAGCAGAGGCAGGAGATGGAGGCCTCAAAGCATAGTTCTGCTGTGGAGCTGCTTCAGGGGATGAGAAGATTTCTGTCCCAAGCCAAAAGTCTCCTTCTGGAAGCAGGAGAAATAGAACCTCCAATTGAGACACTGGTGCCTGAGAACGAGAAAGGTAAGGAGGCATCACTTGAGGTTTAATCAGTGACCCAGTGTTGATGCATTACTTCCTGTAGCTCAAACAGTAGAGCAGATGCTAACAATGCCAAGGTTATGAGTTAAATTTCCAGTGAACTTTTAAAATGTATATCTTGTGTAACCGAGGCATCTGGTAAGAGCTGCGCAAGTAAACCTCACTCCCCTGATTTCAAGAGGCGCACCATCGACTGACGCTAGACGCTGTGGTCTGTAGCGTCCTTGTTAGCATGCCTGCCTCCCATGCCGGCGACCTGGGTTCGAGTCCCGCTCAGAGAAAGGTGTTTAGGACCAGAGTGGTTACATTGGTGCCGTGACCCGGATTGGAGTGAGGTTTAGGGGGGTGAGTGTAAAGATGGCTATAGAGATGGCTATAGACTGTGGCCTTTAATGTCCTTGTTAGTGCGCCTGCCTCCTATGTCGGCAACCTGGGTTCGAGTCCTGCTCGGAGGAAGGCGGTTAGGACCAGAGGGGTTACATTGGTGCCGTGACCCGGATGGGAGTGAGGTTTAAGGGGATGAGTGTAAAGACCGCTATAGGCTGCAGTCTTTAACATCCTTGTTAGCACCCGCCTCCCATGCCGGTGGCTTGGGTACGAGTCCCGCTCAGAGTAAGGTGGTTAGGACCAGAGGGGTTACATTGGTGCCGTGACCCGGATGGGAGTGAAGTTTAGGGGGGGTGAGTGTAAAAACCGCTATAGGCTGTGGTCTTTAACATCCTTGTTAGCACGCCCGCCTCCCATACCTGCGACCTGGGATCGAGTCCTGCTCGGAGAAGGGTGGTTAGGACCAAAAGGGGTTACACTTGCATGCAATACAAGTCAAACCTCCAAGTTTTTGGTTACCAGACCAGCAACCACTAGGCCAGGGGTTCTCAACTCTGGCCCTCGAGGACTACTTTCCTGCAGAGTTTACCTCCAACCTTTATCAAACTCTTCTAGTAATTCTAGTAAACTTTCTAGTAATTCTGAAGACATTTATTAGATTGTTCAGGTGTGTTTGATTAGGGTTGGAGCTAAACTCTGCAGGAAAGTGGACCCTGAGGGCCAGAGTTGAGAACCCCTGCACTAGGCCATACCACCCCCAATTTTAACCAGTAATATAGAATAGAATATTAGTGAAAATAGACCTGTTTACTTTTAATTAAAGAAAATGTGAGTAATTTGGCAGAACATTGCTAAAAAGTTGCCTGGATGTTCTGAGTGGTTTGTAGATGGTCATCCCTATGATAGTCTCTTCTTTAAATTTGTCTCAAGTCCCTCTTTTAATGTCTTTTTGATGTCTTTAAATGAGTATTTGCTCATTTTAATGTCTGTCAGGTGGAAACTGAAGGTCTGATTGTTCATGAAAGTAAACAATCAACAAGAAGCATGATGCATCATTCGAGTTCTGTTCACAGCACAAATGGTGCAGTTAAGTTAATTTTAATTGTTAAGTTTAATACACTAGGATGCACTAGGAGTTTGTTCAGATCATTAACCCTAATCATGAGCAATATTAATTGTGATGCTTGACTTGGCAAACACCACTAAGGCTTTTACAGGAAGTAAATGACTCAACGCTATGAATTGCATCATGGAAACCAATCAGTAGGTTTGAAACTCTAAAACAAATGGAATGGATAAAAGATGTGATAGGTTTCCTAGAATCCTTTGAAATAATGAATTTCTGGAAAATAGCATTGATGTTTGAATTTCAATGTTACATGTAGCTTTTATTAGCACAGCTGTAACATAGTTTTGGTGTGAGATGATGACTCCCATTCTATGATGTACTAAAATGTTCCTTGCAGAGTTTCTGTAGGAAAATTTGTTACCGTTAATGCAGCATGCTAACTTCTGGCAGCACAGCAGAGCTTAAGACACAAGTTAAAGTTACTATAGCTCTATTTTTATACTGCAGAACAAGTACGTCAGTCAAATAAGAACATCCAATCCTTTATAAGCCTGCATAGCTGGGATTATGAGCTGATTATGAGATATCTCCCCCAAATCAAAGCAAGAAATTTAAAAGCCGGCCACATCCCCGGAGATGGATGCTGTTTCAGATGTTGGTGGAGGCATTTGCATTTTTCTGAATAGAGCTACAGGAAAAATGTGCACGTTCCAAATAGCTTTAGGCAAACATGAGTAGGCCAGTATGCAATCTGTGCCATATCTTCTCATTTTCTGCAAAATCAGTGTAAAACGTAAGCATTCATTTTGGTTGATCAAAGCATTATTAAATTAGAAATGAATATATGAAGAAATATTCTGGGTTCAATAAAAGATATGCTAAATAAAAGATGATTTGCATGCACAGTAATGTATTTACAATGTTAATCTACAGGCCAAGGCCTTGCACCACAATAAACATTAAGATACAGACTATTTCTAAAGTATAGCGACAATATTTTGTGTGAAATTCATTTAAAATCACTAACCTTGTCTATTAAAAGTTGCATCCAATATTTCAATCCCTGACAAGGCCATACAAAGCCAACAAACACTGTAAATGGCACACAAAGAGACCAGAAAGAGACTGTTATCATTCAGAAATATCCACCCACAGTATTTCACAGGGACAATTTAGCAACTTTACAGATTTAAATAACACCATGTGCTTTACCAACAATAAAAGATGCATATTTCCTGTCATGTGACCCACAGATCTTGCCCTGGAGAAGGCTCTGTTTGGCTGCGTGTTGAAGCCGTTGAAGGTTCAGCTGCAGCAGATGCTCGTTTCCCTCCACACTAAGGATGGCTCCTTACAGAAGATCACCGACAGCTTGCTGGCCTATCAGGAGGGGGCGCTGGAGCGCATGGCTGTACGAGTCGGCGTCCTGGACATTCGCGGCATGGACAGAGCGAAGGCAAAGCTCACACTGATGCAGCGCAGCCATTCGCCCATTGACAAGGTGCTGCTTCTGCTGCAGGTGTGCAAGAGCGTTTACAAAGCCATGGGAACACAACCTGGTGAGCAAAGATTTAGATACTGGTTTGTCATCTTTAGGGCAACTAGCTGTTTCACTGGTAATTTAAAGGGGTCATGAACTGCCTCTGTTTTTTTTATTTTCAGATCAGGACGTGGGGTCGGAGGACTTCCTACCAGCGCTGTCCTATGTGCTAGTTCAATGTAATATCCCGCAACTGCTGCTGGAGACGGAGTACATGATGGAGCTGCTTGAGCCGTCATGGCTGACAGGAGAAGGTAAAAAAGAACTCGCCTCAAAAATAAACACATACAGACTCTGTTTAAAATCCACGTTTGTTAGACTCACTTCTAATGGATCCAATCAGCAGACGGCACTTTTATGCTCCCGTGTAAGATAACCGTAAGATAATTTGTTAGATAACAGGTACTGCATGCATCCTTCACAGAATCCCGGACTGGGAGGGACAGAATCAAAGGGATATTCAAAGGCAATTATAAATATGCAAATTTGCATTAATTACAGGGAAATGTCAATCAAAATGGTTTCATTTAAAAATGAACCAGCTCTAAAGATCATGAAACTCATGATTTTTACAATAACACACAAAACTTTCAAGACAGACCTACAATGAGCTCCGAGCTGCAAGTGGGTGTGATTTCCACATCATTTATCATTTATCTTCATCAACTTCAGTAGCCAAATTCCCAGTGAAGAACTACACTACCTGAACAGAGCAACAGCAATCAAAAGTTGCTGTTACCATGGAAACCCAGCAGCGAACACACTTCCATAAAGTCTTATGAATTATGTAATCCAGTTGATCTACCTATACTTTAAAACTAGTTATGTGCTCTCTTTATGAATTTAGATTTTCTTTACAAGTTTTCATTGTTGATGTCCCTGAACTGAGGAGTTTTTATGGGTTTTTGTTTGTAGGTGGATACTATTTGACGAGTGTGTATGCCAGCCTATGTCTGATCCAGAGCAAGCCTGGGGCCATGCCCACCTGCAGTCTGACCAATGAGGCTCAAGAGTACTTGAGGGAGTGGAGCAGGAGGCGGGGGCAAGAAGCCAAGACCCAGAAAGACAATCAGCTGAAACAGGTTGAAACCATAGACTGCATATATTTTTTCATATACAGACACACACACACACATTTATATTTATATATATATATATATATATATTAGGGCTGGGCAAGTTAACGCTTTATTATCGCGTTAACACATTAATTGATTAACGCCGACAATTATTTTATCACGCGTTAGCGCAGTTTTTTATTATTATGAAAGTCCGTTGCTCACTGGCTCTGAATACACATACAGACAAACCATGGGTCACAGGAGGGGAGGGATGTTGATCAGTAGGCTACTGGCTTGGGATGAGCGTCATCACGCGACTCAACCAATGAGAGCATATGGGGTGGACCTAAGACTGCAGCAGCGCTCACATGAAGCACTCACGACTTTATAAGTGGGAAATAGCACGTTTCTGATAGCACGTGAAGACAGCAGAGAAGCGCTCTCGCTCAGCACAATGGAGTGCATCGTTTTGTTAACTTTGTGGTTTATTATTTTGAGTCGTTTGGGACACGGTGACACACGGCCCTCTCACAATATATTGCTTTATCTATCACTTTTGCCGCTCAGAAATGTACACGCAATCATGCTGCACGTATCAGAAGTTCAGCGCTCCGACACTACATGTGCACCGCGCCCGAGCCCAACTGAACCGGGCTCTGGCCCATCTCTTCAGACCGAGCCAGTGACGGCTAAACGAACCGTGGCACGGAGCGATCACACTAGTCAAACGAACCGGGATTTGGGGGTCAAACGCGCTCGGGCACGATTAAGATTGCTTAGTGTAAGTACACCCTTATTCTCCTGCATCCCACACACACGAGTCTACCCGCCCGCACTCGCCCATCAAGTGTTGTCCCACTCCGCACTCTGCTGCGTTGGTTCCCGCAATAGTGCAGGTCTCTACTCGGAAGGTGCCTGTTATAATGTTATGATCGAGGCTCTGGAGTCGGAGCATAGCTTGTTTTTCTATAACAAACTATAAAATATTTTCTATAAAAACTTTAATGCCCTGGGAGTGGCAAATAGCTTTGGTTTTATATTTAATTTGATTACATTAATGTTATAAGTTGAGATTTACAAGAAATATTTTAACTGCTACTATGTAAAAGGAATACTGCTGTAAAAAAAAGCACCTTATTTGTTTAAAGTGTTTGCAAACCAAATGTTATTGCACTTTTGTTCATATAGCAGTACTTTTAAATGAAAAAAGTGCACAATACACTACTTTTGAATTCATTATTGAATTTTGTTCATAACAATGCGATTAATCGCGAGTACTCACAGAAAAACATGCGATTAATCGCAATTAAAAAAAAATTTTAATCGTTGCCCAGCAATAATATATAGAGAGAGAGAGAGAGAATTTCCTCTTTTACATTTTATATTTAATAATTTATTGTTGTGGATTTGTCTTCTGTGCAGTCAAAGTCATTTTTAAAGGGACGGTAGATCCAAAACAATTGACTTGTAATAATATTTTATAATACAGTAGTCAACATTTGAAGTGGATCAAAAACGTTCATCAGAGTTCATCAAACGCATTTTGGTTTTAGGTTTTAGGACAACTTTGATGAAAGGTTTTGATCCACTTTAAATGATGACTAGTATATAATGTGACAAATTTGTGATTAGAACAGACTGTTCACCAGGAAATGATGTAAGACAGGTCTTGATTTCTATCAGAGGTTTGATTGGATTTTGAAGCGGTGAAACATGTTAGGTAACATTTATAAATTATTTTTTTCCCCCTGCCCACACAGGCTTGATTACATCAGCCAAAATGTTGAGAATATATTTTGATGATTGATTATGAAAACATGTTTTTTTTCCTTTTAAATAGTGTGAACAGTTTAATCATGCACACTGAGACTGTATTAAGACTATAAACAGTTGGTTGATTATTTATTTATGTACTAGTTTAATAGTTCATGCAAAAATGGAAATATGCTGAAAATGTACGCCCCTTCAGGTCATCCAAGATGTAGATGAGTTTGTTTCTTCATCAGATTTGGAGAAATGTAGCATTATGTCACTTGCTCACCAGTGGATGCTCTGCAGTGAATGGGTGCTGTCAGAATGAGAGTCCAAACAGCTGATAAAAACATCACAATAATCCACAAGTAATCCACACCACTCCAGTCCATCATGTTTTGTGAAGCGAAAGATGTGTGTTTGTAAGAAACAAATTGATCAAGGCATTTTTATCTTTAAACCATTTATTCCAGCTAAAATATGTGTCGATAATATTGCTTTCTCCAGTGGTCTGAATCAGGAGAGAAATATGCACAAAATCAGGCACCGTTTACATGAAAACAGTCCGAAATCATTGTAAACAAATAATTTATCAGTTTTTACCATATGCTTTTTACGGTATAGAACATATTTTGACAAGAAGCTACATCAGATCACAAAAGGAAGCAGTTGTGGAGTAAAAACGTTATAGTGTTCTCTTTTGTTGGACAACAGGTTTAGAAACGCTTCTCATTGCAAGTCATTACAAGGAAAGTTTAGCTTTAGGCATTTTAGTTTAAGAATGGTTAGCTTAGCTAGCTAACGGTATCTACCTGCTGCCATCAGAGCAAGTGTATTTGCTGCATTCACGCGCTCCTGGGATGCTCTCATTTCCCGAGTTGTGCTTTTAAGTCGGAATGTGGAAACAACATGGACACTCGCGTTACTACAAAGATGTGTTGGATTTGTATTATTAAAGATTTCCGACTTGCTTTCATGAATTTTCTCAGTTGGGAAATTATTTTATTTCCTTATGTCCGTTTCGGAGAACAAATATTGCAATCGATCGCTCAAGCATTTAAGTGGTACCGAAATGAGGCACTGCGTTCTGATTCGGTTCTAGTACATACCGGTTACATACCCAACCCTATTTTGAGATGGACTTTTTCACTGGATGATACATTATTATGGACTCGCATATTAGCCGTTAAACTTCTTAATGATAAATTACTTTCTTACAAACATGCATAATTGCTGGACTGGAGTGGTGTGGATTACTTGTGGATTATTGTGATGTTTTTATCAGCTGTTTGGACTCTCATTCTGACGGCACCCATTCACTGCAGAGCATCCATTGCTGAGCAAGTGACGTAACTCTACATTTCTCATAATTTTCATCTTGTGAACTATTCCTTTAAATCAGCTATGTGTGTTTGTTTTTGTTGTTTCCTGCCGGAGTGCAGAGGTTTGTGCGAGTGTTATTCCAGGACGACTGTCGTAGTGCAGTGCGAACACTCCTCTGGAAGGCAGGGGAAAACGTCGAGGCTTTAGCCCAAACCTGCGCCGGTCTGTTCGGCGTGACGGAGCCGCAGCACTACTGTCTGTTCTGGAGGAGTGAAGGGGAAATGCGTCCTCTGCCGGCCCACGTTCAGCCCCATCAGCTGGGCACGCATGAGGGAGCGTCGCTGTCCTACCTCCGCTCCGATCATGACTTCAGCAAGATGCGCAGACTGACCAGAGGAGGCGCCGTAGATCTGGGCGAGTCGGTGTGCGAGGAGTGAAGAGACACAGGTGCACAATGTGACTTTTATATTTGTTGTCACGTTCGTGGCAAGAGGATTATGGATGTCACAAAGTATTTGAATGCTGTATACGTGTTCAGTTCTATGGATGATGGTGATTATTTTCGTGTGTTTGGGTGTGTTGCGTGTAATCAGAAAGCACAATAGCATTTCAAATGAATCGAAGCAAGATACTTGGTAATAATGCAAAAAGCAATATCTGCCAAACAGGAGATCTGGAAACGCTGTCCAGCGATCTGAGATTCAGCGGTCACTTATCGATTGGCTTGCAGAAGTGTGCATTGCAGAGTAATACCAAAGTGTTGACTATAAACAAAAAAATCTAAATAAAAATGAGTTATGTTTAAACAATACATCATATATGTGCACACCTGACATGCTCTGAGTAATGGCACTGTGTCTGCACTGGACGCATGTAGCATGCTGCATTGAATCACTGGAGCTGTTTACACTGGACGAGTCTGACGCGATGCACTTTCAGTCCATGCTTTCATGCATCTGAAATACAAAAACATATTTACAAATAGCATATGTGTGAATTGATAGATTTAAATTTTATTTAATTCTACATTGGTGCCCATAAGGCCACATAAAAATCTGTATTTTTTTTTTTTTTTTACGTGAGATTTTACCCTAAAAAATCACAAAAAATTCAGACATTTAGATTTTCATCTGAAGCTCCATTGCAGCTCAAGATCTCAAATGCATCAACTTCACTGAAATGCTGATTCATTTATTTTTAATAAATACGTTTTAGCAAATTAGAAAAATAGGCAAATGGAATTATTTCATATGTAACATCTATTTCATAAATACATTTTTATACCAATTATTTTTTGTTAAAATATGTAGTTGTATATTTACCATTAGAAAAGGTAAAGGTATTTTAATGTTTTATCTCTTCTGCTCACCAAGGCTATTTATTTGATACGGTAAAAACAGTAATATTGTGAAATATTATTATAATTTAAAATAACTGTTTTCTATGTGAATATATATTAAAGTGTAATTTATTTCTGTGATGCAGCGCTGTATTTTCAGCATCATTACTCCAGTCTTCAGTGTCACATGATCTTCAGAAATCATTCTAATATGCTGATTTGCTGCTCGAGACACATTTCTGTTTACTATCAATGTTGAAAACAGTTGTGCTGCTTAATATTTTTGTGAAAACCTTGATACGTTTAATTTTTCAGAATTCTTTGATAAATAGCAAGTTAAAAAGAACAGCGTTTATTTGTAACATAAGTGTCTTAAGTGTCACTTTTTGATCAATTTAATGCATCTTTGCTGACAAAAAGTAGTAATTTCTTTTTTTTTTTAAAAAGTATATACAGTAACTATATCTATATAGTTGGAAACAAAGTTATTCACACATTCTGCTCTTGCTGAATTTGTAACACTGACCTATATTGTATATGTATTTATATTTCGTTATGAGATGACGTGCAGCTTCAGCACCTCCAGTGTGGACAGCGACACGCTTCCAGTGTGAATACAGTGTGATTCTGGAGTGTGAAGGAGTCTGGAGTATGTTTTGCAGTAACACTGCTGGCACTACAGTCGGTTTGTGGTACTCTGATTTTACAAGTTTTACTTGAACTGCACTGGCTATTTTGTTCGCTGAACATTAACTGATCACCGTGGACTTGCTCACTCAATCACCACTGGCCTGATATTTGTGTTTATTTGACTTTTTCCTTCATATTCTTCAGAAAGCAGACTATTTCATTGTGTGAAGGATGTAGTGAACATGTGGCATCATGATCATTTGTGAATACTCATGTAAATAGACTCCAAAGAACCAGCTGGTTGTGTTTTGCAGACGTGTTCAGCACTAACATTGTATGTTGTGGAGCTCGCTGAATGAGCTCACGGTGGGCAGATAAACGCAGACACTGTCAGGAGCTGCCCACAATTCAGCTCATAACGGGAAGCACATTTTGTTAAGTCAGGATGAATTTCCCTCTCGGACTGAGGAGAGGAATGTGATTCTCAAAATGGCCATCAAGTGTCAAACTTGGGTGTTTCATAGGCAGGTTTTAGTTTTAAACCCAGGTCATATGCATGAAACGGTGCCGTTTGTGCCTGAAAAATGCTGGATTTTTACAAAAGATTTGATTGTTTTTTGAACCAGAATTAATAACCCATTTAAATTACTAACTATTACCCCAAAAATAAAACATGGTCACTGCCTTACACGGCATTTAATGTTACTGTTACCACAAAAAAAGCTATTTGGACCGTGTTTGGACTGTAATTTCTAGACTTATAATTTGAATAGATAATTCTAGTAGTATCACAAGTTTTGTGTGCCTTAAAACATTAAATAAAAAAAATTTAATTAAAATACTTGCATTTTTAAATGAATGCAAATAGAATTTAAAATGCAATCAATTTAAAAATACAATCACATAATTTTTGCATTTTAATTGAATTAATGTTTAAATTTTTTATTTTTGGGGGGGACATTTTTGCACTGCTGTTCAACTCCAAATAAAATATATTGTGTGTGTGTGTGTGTCAAAAGATTTGATTGTTTTTTGAACCAGAATTAATAACCCATTTAAATTACTAACTATTACCCCAAAAATAAAACATGGTCACTGCCTTACACGGCATTTAATGTTACTGTTACCACAAAAAAAGCTATTTGGACTGTGTTTGGACTGTAATTTCTAGACTTATAATTTGAATAGATAATTCTAGTAGTATCACAAGTTTTGTGTGCCTTAAAACATTAAATTAAAAAAATTAAATTAAAATACTTGCATTTTTAAATTTAAAATGCAATCAATTTAAAAATACAATCATAATTTTTGCATTTTAATTGAATTAATGTTTAAATTTTTTATTTTTGGGGGGGACATTTTTGCACTGCTGTTCAACTCCAAATAAAATATATTGTGTGTGTGTGTGTGTGTGTGTGTGTGTGTGTGTCTGTGTCTGTGTGTGTGTGCGTGTGTGTG